TATATTAATCATCTAGTTTCCATTGATAATTATTTCAATTAATTCGGTCATTATAATGTTTTTTATTACAAAATAGAAACAATTAAAAGATTTAAATTATTTTATAAATAGAGTAATAAAAATAGTGTTTTTTAATTAATTTTCTTTAAAGCTACATAAAAATATTTTTTAATTTCAAAAATGCAATAAAAATATTGTGAACTAATAAAAATTTAATATTAAAAATATGAAATTTGCACAATTAATTTCCAATAAAATATTGAATTTTTTAAGTCAAATTCGAAACAGTTTTATTTGTAAAATAAAAGAAAAAAATTTTATTTAGTAAATTCGCATTCTTATTTTTTATTATCTTTTATTTTAAATTGAGAAACTCTGTCATCTAATTTTTATAATTTAAAAATAATATTTTTTAATTATTTAAGATGTATAGAAAAAATGACTATTTTAATTATTCAAAATAGGGAGTAATATTGTTAATTCGAATAAGATAGATAGTATGTATAAACTATCTTTAATATTTCAAAATAGTGTGTAATATATTTGAATTGTTTAAGAAACATTGTAAAAATGACTAATTTTAATTATTTAAAATAGGGAGTAATATTGTTAATTCGATTAAGATAGATAGAAAGTATAAACTACCTATAATATTTCAAAAAGGAAGTAATATTTTTGAATTGTTTAAGATACATAGAAAGTATAAACTACCTTTAATATTTCAAAATAGGAGGTAATATATTTGAATGGTATTAATATAGAAGAAAGGATAAACTAAACTTAATATTTCAAATAGCAAGTGATACATTTGAATATTATTAATAGAGGAAAGATAAACTAACTTTAATATTTCAAAATAGGATGTAATATTTTTGAATAGTTTTAATAGAGAAAGGATAAATTAACTTTAATATTTTAAAATAGAGAGTAATATTTTTAAATAGTTTTTATATAGGAAGGATAAACTAACTTTAATATTTAAAAATAGAATGTAATATTATTGAATGGTTTTAATATAGAAAGGATAAAATAACTTTAATATTTCAAAATAGGGAGTAATATTTTTGAATGGTTTTAATTTATAAAAGATAAACTAACTTTAATATTTCAAAATAGGAAGTAATATTTTTGAATGGTTTTAAAAAAGAAAGGATATACTAACCTTAATATTTCAAAATAGGGAGTAATATTTATGAATGGTTTTAATATAGAAAAGATAAACTAACTTTAATATTTTAAAATAGAGCGTAATATTTTTGAATGGTTTTAAAAAAGAAAGGATAAACTAACTTTAATATTTCATAATAGAAAGTAATATATTTTATTTATTTTAATTTAGAAATGATAAACTAATTTTAATATTTAAAAATAGAGAGTAATATTTTTGAATGGTTTTAAAAAAGAAAGGATAAACTAACTTTAATATTTCAAAATAGGAGGTAATATTTTTGAATGTTTTTAATATAGAAAGGATAAACTAACTTTAATATTTCAAAATAGGATGTAATATTTTTGAAAGGTATTAATTTAGAAAGGATAAACTAACTTTAATATTTCATAATAGAAAGTAATATTTTTGAATGGTTAATATACAGAAAGGAAAATTAACTTTAACATTTAAAAATAGAGAGTAATATTTTTGAATTGTTTGAATATAGAAAGGATAACTAACTAACTTTAATATTTCAAAATAGGATGTAAAATTTTATAATGGTTTTAATATAGATAGGATAACCTATCTTTAATATTTCAAAATAGGATGTAATAATTTATAATGGTTTTAATATAGATAGGATAACCTATCTTTAATATTTCAAAATAGAGAGTAATATTTTGAATGGTTTTAAAAAATAAAGGATAAACTAACTTTAATATTTCAAAATAGCATGTAATTTTTTGAATGTTTTAAATATAGAAAGGATAAATTAACTTTAATAATTCAAAATAGCTAGTAATATGTTTGAATGGCTTTAATATAGAAAGAATAAACTAACTTTCATATTTCAAAATAGCGAGTAATATTTTTGAATGATTTTAATATAAACTAACTTTCATTTTTCAAAATAGCATGTAATATTTTTGAATGGTTTAAATATAGAAAGGATAAACTAACTTTAATATTTCAAAATAGCGAGTCATATTTTTTAATGGTTTTAATTTAGAAAGGATAAACTAACTTTAATATTTCATAATAGGAGGTAATATTTTTTAATGGTTTTAATAAAAAAATGATAAACTAACTTTAATATTTCAAAATAGAATGTAATATTTTTGAATGACTTTAATAAAGAAAGGTTAAACTGACTTTAATATTTCAAAATAGGATGTAATATTTTTGAATGGTTAAAATATAGAATGGATAAACTAAGTTTAATATTTCGAAATAGGAGGTAATATTTTTGAATACTTTATATATAGAAAGGATAAACTAACTTTAATATTTCATATATAGATTGTAATATTTTTGAATGGTTTTAGTATAGAGAGTATAAACTAACTTTCATATTCAAAATAGGATGTAATATTTTTGAATGTTTTTAATAAAGAAAGGATAAACTAATTTTAATATTTAAAAATAGAGAGTAATATTTTTGAATAATTTTAATATAGATAGGATTAACTAAGTTTAATATTTCAAAATAGGATGTAATATTTTTGAATGGTTTTCATAAAGAAAGGATAAACTAATTTTAATATTTAAAAATAGAGAGTAATATTTTTGAATAATTTTAATATAGATAGGATTAACTAAGTTTAATATTTTAAAATAGGATGTAATATTTTTTAATGGTTTTAATATAAAAAGGATAAACTAACTTTCATATTTTTAAATAGGATGTAAAATTTTTGAACAGTTATAATATAGAAAGGATAAACTAATTTTAATATTTAAAAATAGAGAGTAATACTTTTGAATTATTTATATAGAAAGGATAACCTAACTTTAATATTTAAAAATAGAGAGTAATATATTTAAATGGTTTTAATAAAGAAAGGATAAACTAACTTTAATATTTTAATATAGGAAGTAATATTTTTGAATGGTTTTAATTTAGAAATGATAAAATAACTTTAATATATTAATATAGGAAGTAATATTTTTGAATGATTTTAATATAAAAAGGATAAACTAAACTTAATATTTTAAAATAGGAAGTAATATTTTTGAAGAAAGGATAAATTAATTTTATAATTTCAAAATAGGATGTAATATTTTTGAATGGTTTTCATAAAGAAAGGATAAATTCACTTTAATATCTCAAAATAGAAAGTAATATTTTTGAATGATTTTAGTATAGAAAGGATAAAATAACAATAATATCAAAATAGAGAGTAATACTTTTGAATTGTTTTAATATAGAAAGGATAACCTAATTTTAATATTTTAAAATAGAGAGTAATATTTTTTAATGGTTTTAAATAGAATGGATAAACTAAGTTTAATATTTCAAAATAGGATGTAATATTTTTGAATGGTTTTAATATAAAAAGGATAAACTAACTTTCATATTTTTAAATAGGATGTAATATTTTTGAACGGTTATAATATAGAAAGGATAAACTAATTTTAATATTTAAAAATAGAGAGTAATACTTTTGAATTATTTTAATATAGAAAGGATAACCTAACTTTAATATTTAAAAATAGAGAGTAATATTTTTGAATGGTTTTAATATAGAAAGGATAAACTAACTTTAATATTTTAAAATAGGATGTAATATTTTTGAATAGTTTTAAAATAGGAAAATATAAACTAACTTTCATTTTTTAAAAATAGGATGTAATAATTTTGAACTGTTTTAATATGGAGATGATAAACTAATTTTAATAATTCAAAACAGGAAGTAATATTTTTGAATGATTTTAATATAGAAAATATAAACTAACTTTAATATTTCAAAATAGGAAGTAATATTTTTGAATGGTTTAAATATAGAAGATAAACAAACTTTTTTATTTCAAAATAGAAAGTAATATTTTTTAATTGTTTTAACATAAAGAGGATAAACTAACTTTAATATTTGAAAATAGAATGTAATATTTTTGAAAGGTTTTAATATAGAAAGGATAACCTAACTTTAATATATAAAAATAGAAAGTAAAATTTTTGAATGGCTTTAATATAGAAAGGATAATTAAGTTTAATATTTAAAAATAGAGAGTAATATTTTAAATGGTTTTAATAAAGAAAGGATAAACTGACTTTAATATTTCAAAATAGGATGTAATAATTTTGAATGGTTTGAATTTTGAAAGGATATACTAACTTTAATATTTCATAATAGAAAGTAATATTTTTGAATGGTTTATATATAAAAAGGATAAACTAACTTTAATATTTCAAATAGAGAGTAATATTTTTGAATGGTTTTAATTTAGAAAGGATAAACTAACTTTAATATTTTAAAAAAGAAGGTAATATTTTTGAATGGTTTTAAAATAGTAAGGATAAACTAACTTTAATATTTCAAATAGGGAGTAATATTTTTGAATGATTTTAAAATAGAAAGGATAAACTAATTTTAATATTTCAAAATAGGATGTAATATTTTTGAATGGTTAAAATATAGAATGGATAAACTAACTTTAATATTTCAAAATAGAGAGTAATATTTTTGAATGGTTTTAATATAGAAAGGATATAATAACAAAAATATCAAAATAGAGAGTAATATTTTTGAATGGTTTAAATATAGAAAGGATAAACTAACTTTAATATTTCAAATAGAGAGTAATATTTTTGAATGGTTTTAATTTAGAAAGGATAAACTAACTTTAATAATTTAAAAAAGAAAGTAATATTTTTGAACGGTTTTAATATGGAAATGATAAACTAACTTTAATAATTCAAAATAGGAAGTAATATTTTTGAATGATTTTAATATAGAAAGGATAAACTAACTTTAATATTTCAAAATAGGATGTAATATTTTTGAATGGTTTTAATATAGGAAGGATACAATAACTCTAATATCAAAATAGATAGTAATATTTTTGAATGGTTTTAATATAGAAAGGATAAACAAAGTTAAATATTGCAAAACAGAGTGTAATATTTTTGAATGATTTTAATATAGAAAGTTTAAACTAACTTTACTATTTCAAAATAGGAGGTAGTATTCTTGAACAGCTTTTGACAGGAAAAAAAATGAACAAATTTTAATATTTTAAAATAGATAGTAACAAATATTTTTTAATCATATAAAATAGAAAGAATAAATTAACTTTAACATTTGAAAATAGCTTGTAATAAATATTTTGAATCATTTTAGATAGATAGAAAGAATGAACTAACTTTAATATTTAAAAAAAGATTGTAATAAATATGTTTGAATTGTTTAAGATAGAAAGAAAGAACTAATTTTAATATTTCAAAAAAGGAAGTAATATTTTAGAATAGTTTAAAGTAGAAAAAAACAATGGATTAACTTTAATATTTCAAAAAAGCTTGTAAAATTTTTGAATTGTCTAAAATATAGAAAATGTAGAGAATCAACTAACTTTAATATTTAACAATAGAGCGTAATCAATACTTTTGAATTGTTTAAGATAAAAAAAATGAGCCCACTATTATATTTCAAATTAGAAAGTAATAAATATTTTTGAATCGCTTAATATAGAAAGAATAAACTACTTTATTAATTCAAAATAGAATGTATATTTTTGAATAGTTAAAAATAGAAAAAAACCAAGAACTAACTTTATTATTCAAATAGGATGTAATATTTTTGATTGTTTAAAATAGAGATAAAAAACTATTTTTAATATTTAAAAATAGAAAGTAAAATTTTTGAATTGTTTAAGATAAGTAGAAAGTATGAGTTAACTTTTATACTTGAAAATAGGATGTAATATTTTTGAATTATTTAAGATAAAAATAATGAACTAACTTACTTTAATTTTTCAAAATAGTATGTAATATTTTTGTATGATTTTAGATAGAAAGAGTGAACTAAATTTATTATTTCAAAAAGTGAGTAATAAAAATTTTTGAATCTTTTAAGATAGATTGTAAACAAATTAACTTTATTATTTCAAAATAGGAAGTAATAATTTTGAATCATTTAAAAAGAAAAAAATAATGAACTAACTTTTATATTTCAAAATAGCATGTAATATTTTAGAATAGTTTAAAATAGATAGAAAGAATGAACTAACTTTAATATTTCAAAATAGCTTGTAATATTTTTGAATGGTTTAAAATATAAAGAATGTAATAACTTTATTATTTGAAAATAGTGAGTAATAAATTTGCTTGAATCATTAAAGATAGATTGAAATAGTGAACTAACTTTAATATTTCAAATTAGGAAGTAAAATTTTTTAATCGTTTAACATAAAAAGAATGAATTAATTTTAATTTTTTAAAATTAGGAGGTCATATTTTTGAACTTTACAAGATAGAAAGATAGATAGAATGAACTTACTTTAAAATTTTAATATATATACAGAGAGTAATAAATATCTTTGAGTCATTTAAAAGAGATAGAAATAATGAACTAACTTTAAATTTCAAAATAGAGAGTAATAAATATTTTTGAATGGTTTAATATAAAATGAATGAATGTACTTACTAACTTTAATATTTCAAAATAGGGAGTAATTTTTTCGAATTGTTTAAAATAGACACAAAGAATAAACTAACATTAATATTTCATAATAGAAAGTAATAAATATCTTTTAATCATTGAAAAAAGATAGAAATAATGAACTAACTTTAAATTTCAAAATAGAGAGTAATAAATATTTTTGAATGGTTTAATATAAAAATGAATAAATGTACTTACTAACTTTAATATTTCAAAATAGGATGTAATATTTTTGAGTTGTTTAAAATAGATATAAAGAATGAACTAACTAACATTAATATTTCATAATAGAAAGTAATAAATATTTTTGAATCATTTAAGATAGATATAAAGAATGAATTAATTTTAAAATAGATTGTAATATTTTTGAATGGTTAAAGATAAAAAGAACGAATTAACTTTAATATTTCAAAATAGGAAGTAATAAATATTTTTGTATCATTTAAGATTTAAAGAAATAATGAACTTACTTTAATATTTCAAAATAGGGAGTAATAAATATTTTTAGATCGTTTAAATAGAAAGAAAAAATGAACTAACTTTAATATTTCAAAATAGCTTGTAATATTTTTTAATGCTTTAAGATAGAGAATGATCTAAACTTAATATTTAAAAATAGATTGTAATAAATATTTTTGAATTGTTTAAGATAGAAAAAATGAACTAAATAATATTTCAAAATAGCATGTAATGTTTTTAAATCTTTTATGGTAGAAATAATGAACTAACTTTAATATTTCAAAATAGCATGTAATATTTTTGAATTGTATAAGATATTAAACAAAATAAATAACTATTATATTTAAATATAGGATGTAATTAATATTTTTGAATTATTTCAGATATTTAGAAGCAATAAACTAAAATTTAATATTTCAAAATAGCATGTAAAATTTTTGAATCATTCAGAGTGGATATAAAGAATGAACTAACTTCAATATTTAAATTTAGCATGTAATATTTTTGAATAGTTTAAAATATATAGATAGATAGAATGAACTAAATTTAATATTTCAAAATAGAAAGTAATAAGTGTCTTTTGATGGTATAAGATAGAAAGAAACAAAGTTTATTATTTAATTTTTCAAATAGCATGTAAAATTTTTGAATCGTTTAATATAAAAGGAACTAACTAACTTTCTTTATTATTTTAAAAAGGAAGTAATACCTTTGAATAGTTTAAAATAAAAAAAATAAATTAACTTTAATATTTCAAAACAGAGAGTAATAAATATTTTGAATCATTAAATTGAATATATTGAAGTAACTTTGATATTTAAAAATAGGATGTAATAATTTTGAATTATAATAATTGAAAGAATAATTTAATTTTTATATTTCTAAATAGAGAGTAAATAAATATATTTGAATCTTTTAAGATAGATAGAAAGAATGAACAAAATTTTATATTTCAAATAGAGAGTAATTCATGTTTTTGGATAGTTTAAGATAGAAAATGATAATCAACTATTTTTAATATTTCAAAATAGCTCGTAATAAATATTTTTGGATGGTTTAAGATAGAAAGAAACAATGAACTAACTTTATAATTTTAAAATAGGATGTAATATTCTAGAATATTTTAAGATATAATGAAAATATATATTAACTAACTTTCATATTTCAAATAGGATGTAATATTTTGAATCGTTTAAGATACAAAGAATTAAATAAATTTAATATTTTAAAATAGCCTTTAACAAGTAATTAATATTTTTGAATCGCTTAAGATAGACAAAACGAACAAACAAACTTTAATATTTTAAAATAGAAAGTAATCTATATTTTTGAATCATTTAAAATAAACTAAAATAATTAAAAATAGGAGGTAATATTTTTTAATTGTTTAATATAGATATGATAAATTAACTTAAAAATTTAAAAAATAGGAAGTAATATTTTTGAATCATTTAAGAAATAAAGAAACAATAAACTAACTTTTAATATTTCAAATTAGATAGTAATAAATACTTTTGAATCCTTTAAGATGAAATAATAAATTAACTTTAAAATTCTAAAATAGGAAGTAATAATTTAAATAATTTAAGATATCAAGAAACAATGAACTAACTTTAATATTTCAAAAAGAGTGTAATATTTTTGAATTCTTTTAGATAGAAATAATAAATTAACATTAACGTTTCAAAATAGATGGTAAAATTGTTGAATCATTAAAAAAATAAAGAAATAATCAACTAATTTAATATTTTAAAATAGCTAGTAATAAAATATTTTTGAATCCTTTAAGATAGAAATAATAAATTAACTTTAACATTTCAAAATAGGGAGTAATATTTTTGAATCATTTAACAAATAAAGAAACAATGAACTAATTTTAATATCTCAAAATAGAGAATAATAAATATTTTTGAATCATTTAAGATATAAAGAAACTATCAACTAACATCAATATCTCAAAATAGATAGTAATATTTTTGAATCCTTTAAAATATTAATAATAATTAACTTTAAAATTCCAAAA